CCAGGGTTTCCATCCGCCGCCGGCGAGCAGCCGCCCGAGGGGCGTCCCCCTCTGACAAGCGGCGGCAGTGAGCACAGAGCGGCCTTGTGGGGCCTGTGGTCAAAGGCCGATAGTTGCGATATGGAGCCTGACACTCTTGCAGCAGCCGGGCACATCCCAGTGGAACAGTCACCACCCACTCTACAGCCCAGAGCGATCCTAAAGCTACATACAGGAATCAGGATCCATTCAATCCGTTACACTTGTATGTGTCCTCACAAACAATTACAGAAAGGTGACCGCAGCTAGGAGGCAGAGTTTCTAATACATCTAACTTTCAGAAGTTTTATTAGTAAATTAAAAGCTGCCAAACAATAGATTACAAAATATAATCCACTTTACGTTAATCAGAAGGTAAATGAACATGAATATTTAAATCAGCACGTTTTGGGCAACAAAATACAGTTCAAGGTTGAAAGCACTTACTCCTGAGTGATGTACCACCACCTTACATGTCCTTTGGCAGGTCACAATTTCAGGAAGCTTCCCTATGCTTAAATAATTCTGATATCCAAGGTTCAGAAGTGCAAAGTATATTTTGTTTTGTGTCAGTTGATTCATCACTACAGCCAATCTTTCAACTTTATTTCTTGGTATATGTGAGTTTGGTTTCATTCTCCTCTCTAGGGCTAATTTTCCCCTAAAACCAGAATTCATTAATGAATATTTCAGACAACACGGCTATGATCTGAAATTATTCACCCTAAATATTCAAACTGCTGCTGCTCTTTATTGTTGCCTATCTCTTCCACTTTAGGTCTACCAGAATCCAACATGGCAGTACATGGAACAGAAACCACTCCCTCAGGTATTGTGAATTCAGCAAAACATTTCAATTCAAAACTATAACTTTCTTCTATCAGATGACATCTACAAATTTGAGAAGAAATAATGGCTAAATTAATGACATCCCTTCCAAATAAAATTTGACAGTTTCTCTACACCCTATATTCAGTTGTGCTTAGATGTTAGTGCAGATTAGAACCTGGAAGTCAGAGCTATACAAAATAAATTGTCATTGATTTTCAAATTAAACTGCTAATAATTAAACTAAACCTTTGATGTCTGGGATAGCATGTATTTAAATCAAGTGTTCTCATAATAGTTCACAGGTCACTCAAACTTTGAGGCATATCAGCTGCTATAAATAGTCATGCTCCACTGAAGTCAACAGAATAACAGATTACTCAAGTTGTGGATCTACTCCACATTGCTAGCTCTATGGATTGATCAATGGCTGCAGTAATATGTTCTTTGGGCATGCGTACACTACACAGCTTTTAGTAACAAAGCTGTGTGGACACTGGCCTGTCAGTAAAAGTCAGAACATGTGAATGCTGTTTGTTGGCACTTTTGCCAGCAAAATACTTTCACCCCCAGTGAGGGGGGTTTTGCACTGTCAGCAGGAGAGTACTCCTGCCAACAAACAGTGTTCACATGTGCACTTGCTGGGGGAAAAACTCTGCTTCACAGGGGAGAAGGGGTTAAGCACCAAGAACAACAAAAGTGTTGTCAAGCAAATGCAAGTGTTGAGACAGCTTTGGGCGCTCCTTTAGCCCCGTGGTTCTCAACTGGAGGTACACAAAGGTCATCAACTCATTTAGCTATTTAAAGCACTATCAAATCTGTACAAACTAAAATTTCATGTAAATGACTTGTTTATGCTGCTCTATATTCTATACGCTGAAATATAAGTATGTATTTTATGATATAAAAGTGAGAAAGTAAGCAGTTTTTCAGTAATTGTTCTGAGACACTTCGAATTTTTACATTTGATTTTGGTAGGCATGTGGTTTTAAGTGAGGTGAAACCTGAGGGTATTCAAGACAAATCAGATTCCTGAAAGGGGTACAGTAGTTTTGAAAGGTTGAGACAGACTGCTCTAGCCAACTGCCTTGTGGAGTTGTATGTATGGATTATAAGAGTAACAGCTTTTTTTACTTACCTCTACTAAACACCAAATGAGGAAAGGAAAAATAGTGGGAATGCTGGTTCATACAAACAGCTGGGCACTTGTGCTACACTGCTGTATTCATTCATCACTGCTTTTCAGGAGCTTCTAATCTGGTTTCACTAAAAAGATGAGGAAATATAAAATACAGCAAAAGAAATCAAGATGCTCAAATATAATAAACAAAATGCTTTTTTATTTCTTGAACAAAAAATGCTTTTTCTCTAAAGTATTTTGGCAGTAATTTTTTTGTAGCTTACTCATCTCTGCCCAAACCAACTCATCAGTATATGGCAGTATTCTTCCAGGACCTACATATATGATTGTTTTCTTCTTTTTACAGAAAACTCTAACTGTGGAAGTGCTTGATCATCTGGAACGGTTGGCACTAGTTGACTTCCGCACCTTGGAAGGTGTACAACGGCTGGAGAAAGCAATCCAATTTGCTGATCAACTTCATGCTGTTAACACACAAGGAGTAGAGCCAATGGATTCAGTACTAGAGGACAGGTAACAAATCATGGCAAATAACTTGCTTATTTGTTATCTTTCCAAGTTGCCTACATCCATAGTCTCAACAGAAGTACTGTTTTCACTGATCATTCCAGCTATGCAACTGATCCCTTTCCCACAAAAACTTTATATCTAGTGTTCTATGTCAGTGTGGTTCTGTGGAAGAAGAGCACCGCCAGTGTGTGTCCCTGAAATTAGGCACAGAAGCACAACAAAGATGTACTTCAATTCCTTAACATATCTTGTGCAGATCCTTCATGTCAGAACAAGCTGTCCTCCAAAAGTCCTGGAACAAGATCCTTGGTCCCTTTTAAATTTGCTTATACCTGCTGCTTGATACACAGGCTGCCTGCTTTGTATTGCTGTCATTTCTGCAGCTTTAGTTGGTCAAGAAGTCAGCTTGACTATAAACTTTCATTCACCTATTTACAAAGTAGCAACAATAATCTTGAGCTGTAAGTCCAATACAGTGCTTCTGTGCTTGTGTCTGTACAGCTCAGTGCTGAAGGTCCTGCTGATTTGAGGACACTGGGAAATTTCCCAAGGTTTCATTGTAGTTTACAGTAACTCATTTGTATGGTGGTACGTGGGCCCCGCCAACTAATTAAGCAATAGGGCAGACAGGAAGGAGATTGAGGTTGCTCACCCACCTTCTAGTGGCCCTAAACAAAAGTAATGCAAGATACGCCAAGAGCATTTTGAACTGAAACAAGTTTAAAAGTTTGTTAATGAATAGAGGCAAGCAATCTGCTCCCAGCTCAAGGGGCTTGACTTTACATCTCGTATCAGATGCTCCTGTGCTTAGCTGGCAAAGAAATTAGTCTCAGAAATTGCTAGTAGTTTCTTGTTCTCCTCAGATGTTTGTATCTCAGAGAAGATAACATCACAGAAGGCAATTGCACTGAAGATCTGCTGTGTAATGCCAGAGAAACAGTTGAGGAATATTTCATAGCCCCACCAGGTACAGCCATCTTAATATATAACTCATTTGGACTTGATAACATTCAGGTAAGAGAGTTGAGATGACTTGATAGATGTAACCTTCCACAGTTGAATTTCCATGTATACTGGCCAGCAGCAGAATACTGAAATAGGGCATTAATAGCTTTGGCCACCCATGGAGAAACTGGTGTCTAGCTCTATATTTCTTAGCCATTAGTGTAGAAAGAAAAGGGTTTTATTCTGCCTTAATGTTATTGCTCTTGACTTATTCCTAGAGATAAAAGATATCCAAAGTAAAATGGAGCTTATTTACAGGGGGAAAATTAGTCAGTTGCTAGTTTTTAAAATGAGCCACATAGGCAACTGAATGTTGTGTGGTAAAAATGGCTGAATAATGAATAGTTTGTCTCATACCATCATTGTTTTGTTTACTATTAGGTAACATCCCTTTACCAAAGCTAAACGAGCGAGATACTTTTCTGCAAGTCTCTGAATGAAAGTCAAGGTCTGGCGTGCCACTTCATTGTCTGGGACATATCTTGATTCAACGGTCAAGTCTCAAGAATAATAGCTGCACATAATTACTTTTTCTTCCTTTGTTCTGTAAGATTACTTTGAAATTAAAGGTTTGGTGTATTTTTTCAGTACAAAGACAGAAGGCTATTGTCTATTTACAAGTCTAGAAATTTGGCCTCAATGCCTCTGATTAGTCAATATATGGTGAAGCTTACCATGTCAACCTTGAAACTATCATGCACAGTTAGCACTCTAGACACAATAGCTGTGTCCATCAACCCTGGTTTGGGGGTAAGAGGAACGAGGTGCTATTTTTCTTTATCAAATTACTTAGGCAGAATGAGTAGAATGTTGCAGTACCTAGATTCACTGGAAACTTGTCACTCAGTGATCTGGTACTTACCCAAACTCTCCCATAGGACAATGCTATGTAAAAGCACTTGATTTATTACATACTGCAATCTTTAACTTTTTTGCTTCTACAAAATATCTCCAAGTAAACGCTATCTTGTTCCACATATGCTATACTCCATTCAGTGCTTTGTCCAGTTTAAATTAGGTAACTAAATTTGTAGTTAAGAGTGTATGAGAAATGTACTTGTTTTTGAAGTGAAATAATGGTTTTAGAGTGAAGATCCCTACTCAGATAAGTGGAAAGATTCCCAAGTCCAGGTCATTATGAAGGTGTATTCAAAAGACCAGTTGCCCACTGCTTCTGTCCACATTGACAGGGTGGTAAGCTGGTACAAGATTCAACCATTGTGGGCTTTGCTCATAGCAAGTGTAGTTGCCGTAATACTGTCAATATCCATCCACTTCTGTGGGATACAAAGCTGTTAAGCTTTGCAATTGCTTGCACTGCTGAAATTCACTAGAATAGCTAAGCCTTCCCATCTCAGGCTGAGGCAGCAGAACTGTCATTTATTCTACATAGTTCCACTACATGTACACTAAACATTTGTTCTGCTGTCAGGTGTGAAACAAAAGTGCACAGTAACTTTTTTGGTCACATCAGAACACATTTAAGTAGTCTATCAATCTTCTCTAGCCCAGGTAGACAACATAAACCATGAGCTCCATGATACACCTCCACTAGAAGGAGTGTGTTAATGGTTGGAGCTAGGAATGTGATAATGTAAACGTGTAAAGGGTAACACATAGCTACCCCCCCACCTTTGTATTAGAGGCAGCAGTGGAGGGGGTTCCCTCAGAGTCAGTGCTCACAAGAAGCCTACTTAAAAGCTGGCTTTCCATATGCACCAGCTCTCCTGAAGCTACCTCCTCCCCACCCTTGTACGTAAATATGTACACGTTTACCGAAAGAAATGCATTAACAGTCCTAGATGAAGCACTGGTAATCATTAGACCTGGGTTGATTTAGTTGGGATTGGTCCTAGTATTCATTAGACCTGGGTTGATTTAGTTGGGATTGGTCCTACTTTGGGCAGGGGGCTGGACTTGATGGCCTCCTGAGGTCTCTTCCAGCCCTAAGATTTTCTTAGCTCTGTATTCCTACCCTCCTGTATGATCCTGAGTCAAATTGCTTCCCTCCTGTTCCCCACATATGCTATATGTAAATGATACTAGTCTTTTCTGTAAAGCACTATGGGCTCTAATGCTGAAAAGTGTTAAGTATTATTTAGAGACTGTTTATAAGAACAGCCAGGAGCAGCAGGATTTTATTATTTGTCCTACCATAGCCTCTGACTTCATGAGTCACTAACTGCACTGTGATTTTAGGCATTTGTAAAACAAGCTGTACTTTTGCATTGGCCCGAGATGCTTGATAAATGCATAAAGCACAACTGAGAAAAGGTGCTACTGCCCAATTTTAATTATTTTTCCTAGTTATTGTAAAGGGGAGAAAGTCAGCTCATTAATACCGTTGCATGTGTGAAAATGCTTTCAGGCAATTCAGTCCCTTTCCACTTGCCCTTGTGGAGTGTACTGTTCTGATACCGCAAGAAGGGAAAACCACTCAGTACATATCTAGGCATCTAGCAGCCCACAACCTCCCAAAAGTTGCTTGCACCTACTCCCCACCTTCTCTTAATGCAGTGATCTTCTAATTGTACAAAAAAACAACCACCGCTTGTGAGTTACTAAAACATTTAAATATATTTCTACACAACAGGCTGAGCCATACAGTCACTCCATTGCTTTTTATCACCATCCTGTAGACAAGCCATCAAGAGATACTGCACTAATTCTCAAGCTTATTTTTCCTCAGGAGGGAAAAAAAAGTACACTTGACATTTTCCAAACCAAAAACAAAACTAAGCTGCAGATCTTCCAAATATCTAGTTTCCAATATTTCCCTAGTAAAAACAGTTAAGTCATAAAAAAAGACTTTTATTGAATAAAAAGGAAAAACAAAGAGCTCCTACGAAAAACTATATCCATCAGTTTTGGAATGTAAATTCTGAGCAAAAAGGAGGCTCAGTTCACATTTTTAAAAAGTCCCTGTGGGATGCAATCAGTATGGCCTGAAGGGGGACGAGTAGCGTGGTGATCCCCTGCTTTGGTAGGGAGAATCGCGACCCCTTGAACCAGAACGGGACCGCGAGTAGCCATAGCTGGTACTTCTTTCAGGACAGACTCTGATATAGGAAGTTTCACCCTGAAATTTAAACAAAGAAGAAAACCCAAACATTTACATTGCATCCTGATTAAGTTGTCCACTAATATGAACATCACCAAATGGAGCTCAATCAAATAATCAAATATTGGAGTTTTCACAAAGAGGGTGTTATAATCCATCTACTGCTGCTTGGGTCAAACTCTGCGCTGGCACTTGATGCCTCAAAGAGGTATGTTATTAAATAATTTTGTGCATATACTAATGAGAAATACCTTGATAGCCATAATCATCTGCAAGGGCAGAGGCTCAGCAGCCAGAAGAGGAACATGGACAAGTGCCTCCCACATCCAACCACAAAGGAAGAGGCTGTGGCAGCCAGTGCTGCTAGAGGGTGAAGGTCTCAATGGTCTGACTCCATCCTTAACTGCTGCAGGGAATAGCTATAGGTACCAGTATGGTCCTTCAGCACCGTAAGGAGAGGCCAAACTCTCAGGTCACAATCATGTATCAGCACCTCAAGTTCGGTAAGGAAATCTCCATAGCAAGCACTCTCAGCCTTCAGCTGCAGAGGAGATGGTTGGAGCAGAACAGGTCATCCACTGGAAGGTGGTTGCAATGAAGTAGCACCGCTCCAAGAATGAAAAAGCTGTGGTTTACTGGCTAAGACACCAGGAGACCATCAGAAGAGGTTCCATGCTGGGGCAAGGGATAAATAGCTATAGAAACCAACAGAGCTGTTCAGTTTGTCCTCTGGGAGAATGCTGCAGTTTGCTGACAAAGCCCCCAGCTGGCAGAGGCAACACAAGTTGGCTTAGTTGAAAGAAGGCTGTGAGCCACTATGGCAAAAGGGAAAATGCCATAGCAAGTTAGCTTACCTCGTAGAAGTCAGAGGCAAGCAGTCCAAATTCTTGGCTTCCTGGTAATGAAAGGTGTACCCTACAGAACAGCTCTCAGGTAAGACAAACAGGCTTGTCTGGGACCTGTCCCTTCCAAATGTTTTTTTTTTTTTTAAATCCAGTATTAGTTACTTCATGCACTGAGCCAAGACCCTAACATGCCAAGCCATAGTGGGGTATGCATCATAAAATGTAGGAAAGGCCCTTTATATTATTCTAACAGGTTACTATTAATCACCAACTCCATGATTAGGTTTCTGTTCTTATGCCTCCTGAGACCAGCATGACAAGGGAAAAAAAAAGTGTATGCTCCTCCATGACTCTGCACGCACATGCTCTTCCCCTGAAGGCATGAACCCACCTCATGAGAGCGGAATTTGGTGTCATCCAATTTACGCAGTGCGTATTCCATGTCTTCCTGGCGGAGAAACTCAACTATACCCATTCCATCTTTCTGAACATCTGCATAACAAACATCACCAGCTTCACGCATATGATCCTTCAGGTCCTGCCAGCTGCCTGATGGAGGAAGCCCTAAGCATGGAGAACACAAAACATAAGACACTACATAAACAAAAAAGCCATCTACTCAGGCTGTCCCAGGGATGCTGACCCCGCCATGCCAAGGGCTCCATCACTTCCATGTCCTTTATCACTTTTCCATAGGATCAGAACTGCAAAAAGAATGGAGGGATCCAAAAACAGTACTAAGTTCCATTCCAGAAAACCAGCAGCAGAGCCCTTCATGCAAGGTTCAAAATTTGGACCTCCTGTCAGTAAGATAATCCCTGGGTCTCTCTGGAATTCAAAGTGCTGATATTTCAGAGGAAACTAGTATTTCTGCTGTTGCAAAGTAATTCAGAACCACCCCTCAAGCCCTGTATGTTTGTAATGAAGATTTTGCTTTCAAAGTAGGACATTTTTTCCTTAAGGTTCCTCAAGCTCAGCTCCCCATCCAAGATTGGCTTGTCCAATTCATATCAGTTGTATTAATTTGGGTCCTGAGATTCCAACAGCTCATCCTCTGGCAGTGAGCAAAACACATGCGTTTTACTGGTAATTAATCGGCACATTTACCTAAAGGAAGGTAAAGGATTGAGTTTTCCTGCCCCACAACATGCTGGAGACTCGAATGTACTGGTCCTGGCAATTTTCAAGAAGGCTTCTCAACACCCTCTATCAATGCAGGTTTTCACACTCACGTGAAAAATAATAATTATAAAAAAAGGATGATTTTCAGTTATTCTCCCCCAGCCCTCCCAGGCTCCTGAAGAGGGGATGTTCTCCTCGTATCAATGATTAGTATTCAGATCCTGCTGCAATGCTGAAGATATTATTGCAGGACACTCTTTAAGCCAAACTCACAGGAGCATGCAGAGAACAGAGGTGTGGATATCTTAAAGTAATGCAAGGAGATAAGCATGTATTTGGGAGATATATATAGGTATGGTTTTGTGTTTTATGGACTGTTCCAAGCATCTGCTGTCAGGGAGTACTGAATTTCCTCCTGGGGTTTGATATACATTGCAGAACTTTCAAAACATACTTTCATTTCTCTCCTCCAAAGGGCTCCCTCCACCCATATGGCCCAATGTCAACTCACTACTTGAATGGCCTGTTCAGTTTGTTTCTTTAGGTTTTTTGGTATGAAGTCCCACCTTAAGAATCCACTGGTTGATTGAGGGGGCTCCCTTCCATGGTGCCTTAAGCCATTCTTTCCCACAGTGAGTAGATCATTTGTCGATAAGCAGATCGTGTGGAGCTGCTGAGGCACAGACCACAGCATTTTTTTGTAAATGAATGAAATGTCAACCCTTATCAAAACAAATTACCTCGTAAGATATCCTTTCTGATCATGATGAAATATTAGGAACCATTCCATCTAGCGCCCATCTGTTTTCATCATACAAGAATGATGCCCAAGTTCCTCCTACCTACCTGTTCACTCATGCAATATTGGTACCTTTCGAAATCCAAAACTGAGTTCATAACTGACCCCGTATAAAGACTTTTCTGCTCACCATTCACCAAGATGCACTCCAAAAACCAACAAGATTCCTCCTTGAGTCAACCTGGAAAGGGATTGTCCTCTCCTTGCACTGTGATACTCCTTTACAGGAAGAGGTTTTTATGTTATAGGAAAAACCTTAAACTGATGAAATGATACGAGAAGCTCCTTCTCCCCGAGACAAGGATGCAATAAGCAAGAGAGACAGCATTAGGATGAGTCCTAGCCAGGCTGAAGTAGAAAGTAACAAGCGTCGTGATGGAGGGCCATTCCTCCCACGCAGCCCCCCACCAAAACCTCCACCCCGACCTCGGGAGGGGCTGGGGAATTCAACACGCAGTCGGCTTTCACCATAATCATAACCATTTCTCCCATAAACTGCATCTTCTGCATCTCTGCAAACAAACAACACGAATCAGTGATTAATGATGCTTAATCAGTGATTCCCAACATCTTAGTGGGACATTACGCATGTTAGAAATACTGCAGTTTTTAAAGTAGCTGAAAACAATATTTTAGGATATTTTGGACTGAGTATGAAATGGGCTCATCAGCTATCACTGGCTAGCTCCACTGTCATATCTGTAAACCAGTATAAGTTTTTTCTAATCTCTTAGGTTCCTGTGTACCATACATTTCAGCTAAAATACAATATGGTCACTGGAAAACACAGGAGAGTCACAGTATATTGCATTCATCAACAAGTTCAGGCTATCCTCTATTCTTTCAGGAGGGGGCCACTTTTAGAGCACTGTGCAGATACAAAATTTGTATTTGCATCCATATTCACAAAAGTGAGCTGTGGCTATGGATGTGAATACCTGCAGATATCCGCAGATTTGCAGAGGGCTAGTCATTTTCCCTTACTTTCTCAGAAAGGCTGCATTTTCATTTAACTCTGCCTACCAGATTATGAAAGCGCTTTGTTCTGTATGGATCAATGACGACAAATACTTTACCTTCACTAATAACCTACTTATTAGTAACTACCTCATTATGGTGATTTGGCTTGCATAAGTATATAAAGGGACTTTTGTTTCTGAGAGAATTCTGATGTTGTATTAAAGTCTAAATCTAATCTCGCTTCCCATCCCAGCTGGCTTGTGCTAATGCAAGCAGAAGGGTATGAACTGAAACCAAAACCCTGAAACTAAATGCAAAGTTATAACTGTTTAAACATAAATCTCTTCAAATTTCAGACCTTACAAGCTGAATTTTACAAAATGTGCAAACCAAACCCCCTCTAAAATGAATTTCTGAAAGTTTTGCATAAAATAGAAATAACTCTGGAAGGTGATATATATAAGAACACAATGCATTAGAGCATCTAAATCCTGAGAAGTTTTGCCTCTATTGTTATTAGTTGGCATTTGTATCATCATAGCACCAAGGAGGCCTATAGATTTAAATTCTTCTTAAGCATCAACAAAATACCCGTAAACAAAATAATCTATCAAATTACATAAACAAAGAACACCTCTTCCTATTAGATTGCCTCACTGTTGTAGCGACTTACCCATTTTGGGAACAAAATTATAAAGTCTTAATCAACAGTGGTCCATAACACATTGCCTGATGGTCCTAGAGGAAATGGCTGGTCACATAATTCTGACTGTTACACACCTCCCACCAAATGTTAATCTACCTTAAAAAGGGGGGAAAAACCCCACAATTCTCTCATTTACATTCTTTTTTCCCCAGTTGTAACTGTTAAATAATTGTTGTAACTGCTATAAGGATATTGCTTTCTCTGTCACTGGCAATCAGATATCTGTGATGCAGTGTCTCTGCTGAGCCAAAGAACTAGTGTCTCTGTAATATCTAAGACGACATCTACAATATGTCCATCAACTCTGATTAAAAATAGAGAATAAAAAAGCCTGAATTCACTGTCATCATGTGTGATATTGTAACTCCACTATTAGGAAATTCAGGTACATGTCACCAATGATAACTGTTTAGGCACAATATGCCCATATTAAAAAACAAAACCATAAATGTAAGACCTAGCAGGCATGAATTGTCATAATTGCTGCAGGTAAGCATCAGTTTGAGTGTGCGAGTACTTAAACATCACAAACCGATTTTTAAGGGAAGAAAAGATGGTAACTTCATGTGTAAAACCTTCAGAGGGGGTAGCCAAGTTAGTTTGTAACTGGAAAAACTTATAAAACAAGGAATAGTCTAGTAGCACCTTAAAGACTAACAAAACATGTAAATGGTATGATGAGCTTTCATAGGCAAAACCCACTTCTTCAGATGACTGGAGTATTTAAAAAAAAAAAAAAAAGACTTAAATGGGTTTTGCCCATGAAAACTCATACCATCTACATGTAGTGTTGGTCTTGTACAAACAGTAATCTGTTTGTAAATGTACACATAGTCCTAGATTCTGAATTTCTGTTCATCTGACTGTACACACAAAAAAGTCTAGTTATACCTTAAAGACTAACACAACATGTAGATGGTATGATGAGCTTTCATGGGCAAAACCCATTTAAGTCTTTTTAAAAAAAAAAAAAAAATACTCCAGTCATCTGAAGAAGTGGGTTTTGCCTATGAAAGCTCATCATACCATTTACATGTTTTGTTAGTCTTTAAGGTATAACTAGACTTTGTTTTTTGTGTACACAGTCAGATGAACAGAAATTCAGAATCTAGGACTATGTGTACATTCACAAACAGGTCACTGTTTGTACAAGACCATGACCCAGACTTATCCCATCTGATGCTCCCCAAAAAAGGAAAGCTTGGGAGAATTCACAGGACAGTTATCTAAAATGCTGCAATCAGTTTAACTCACTAAAAAAGGGTAACAATGAGCTTGCATTCCTCCCTCCTACTTGTCCTTTTTTTTTATTTTTTGTATTTAACAACAGTGTGGTGCAAAGCAGTATCCCTTGCTGAGCCAGACTGGAGGAAAAATTTTCAAACCTAATCCATTGGTGCTTTCTTACTTACACCACACACACACACACACACACACACAGACACTAATTTACAAGCTCACACCTGGGAGTTCGTAGTACAATTGCTTCCCAGGAGATACAATTGTGACATTACACACTGCGCGGTGGCATCTTGGATTCGAAGTGGGAAATCTGCTCATTCCAACTAGCAGAGGGGGGAAGCCAAACGACGGGGGAAGGATCGGAACAGCCCGATGGGCCTTTGCCCCCCCCCCCCCCCCCGCGGGGGGGGGGGCGGGGCGGGGGGG